GGGAGGGAGCCTCCCCACCCTCCCTGGCCAGCCTGTCCCAGTGCTCTGTCACCCTCAGAGTAAGGAAGTTTTTCCTCATGTTGAGGTGGAACTTCCTGTGCTCCAGGTTGTGCCCGTTGCCCCTTATCCTGTTGCTGGGCACCACTGAGAAGAGCCTGGCCCCATCCTCTTGACACCCGCCCTTTAGATATTTAGAAGCATTGGTAAGATCCCCTCTCAGCCTTCTCCAGGCTTAAACAGCCCCAGGTCTCTCAGCCTTTCTTTGTAGGAGTGATGTTCCAGTCCCCTCATCATCTTCGTAGCCCTCCACTGGACTCTCTCCAGTAGTTCCCTGTCCCTCTTGAACTGGGTAGCTCAGAACTGGACACAGCACTCCAGATGTGGCCTCACCAGGGCGGAGTAGAGAGGGAGGAGAACCTCCCTTGACCTACTGGCCACGCTCTTCTGAATGCACCCCAGGATGCCATTGGCCTTCTTGGCCACCAGGGCCCATTGCTGGCTCATGGTTAACTTTCTCTCCACCACAACTCCCAGTCCCTTCTCCGCAGAGCTGCTTTCCAGCAGGTTGGCCCCCAACCTGTACTGGTGTGTGGGGTTGTTCCTCACCAAGTGCAGGCCCTTGTCGAACCTCATCAGGTTCCTCCCCACCCAGCTCTCCAGCCTGACCAGGTCTCACTGAACGGCAGCACAGCCTTCTGGTGTGTCATCCACTCCTCCCAGTTTAGGATTGTCAGCAAACTTGCTGAGGGTGCGCTCTGTCCCCTCATCCAGGTCGTTGATGAGTATGTTGAATGAGACTGGACCCAGTACTGACCCCTGGGGAACACAAGAGGTGCTCCTTGTGTGACAGAGCAGATCTTATTCCCCTGTGTGGAAGAGCTACCACCTTGGTAGTCCTGAGTCAATAGGTAACCTTGAATGCTTATAGATGACACTAATTTATGCAAGGAGAATAGTTGAAGTGTTTGGGCTTAATCCTGACGGCTTTCTGAGTATCACCACAGTGACAATCGATCCATAAAAAAAATCAAGTGTGGCCACAGACTGACACAGGCTACAGCAAATCTTTCAGAAACCCCATAGAAATCCCTGCCAAAAGTGGGGCGGGGGGCAGCATATCTGAACAGTTACTGTTCACTGGTGTCACTTTGGTGTGTGCACATGGCATCGAGTGGAGACACAGATAATTGAGCTCAGCGACAGCCCTACTAACGAGCCGGTTCTGGTATCCGTGCCTGACCCTGCATTGTGTTACGAAGCTATAGCCTCTGTGCGCCCAAGAGGAAGAAAGAGGGCTTTTGTTTCCTTAATTGCATAACTAATCTCCTTCTGACACCCAGGGAGATGGAAAAGGTCTAATATCACAGTTCCTTGAAAGGATTCTTCTTCCCCTTGTCGCCTGGAGACAGATTTACTGGGGTTGCTCTTGCGTGACTGACAACTGCGCTCCTCTCCAATCCAGACAGTAGTTAACTCTCTGCCATATGTTTAATTTATAGCACCGCCACACTTCCAAGGGCTCTGGGCACGCTCTTAAGATTTCAAGAGGGAAGAGGGATGCTTTTAGTGTACAGGTCCTAGGTGGGGGTTCAAACGAGGGAGTTTAGCCTCGTCGCAGGTTCACCTCCCCTTGTCGGAGTGGAAGCAGGAGGAACTGTCACGACATTGTAAATTCCTCAGGGCAGAGCGGTCTTCGATGAACTCTAGTACAGCAAAGCCCTGGGTGCTGGTCAAAGGCCTTTAGTCAGTGCAAATTCAGAGACATAAATACTCTGTCTATGCACCTTTCTAACCACAGCCGTGATTCTCACGATTGGCCAGTTTTGAAATTGGGGTTTTTTTTAGCAAGGGAAATAACTCCCTCTGGTTGCTAGATTTCTGTAAACTCTGAGTCTGCCTCTATTGGCCACTAATCTACTGCGTATCGCATTATGCTAAGCAAGCATCCTTGCCAGCCATACTCCTGAAAGGATCCTCCATCCCCACTGCATGCTTTTTTCTCTTCAGTTTCCCTCACATTTTCTGCTATGCAGACTGTGATCTCCATGTGCCGTTGCTCATAGTGCCCAGCAAACCTGTGTTTGAGTTGTGTTAACCAATTAATTCTGATTTCTTTTAGGGTTTGGGGTTTGGTTTTTTTTTGGTGCAATACTTAGTTCTCAAATCTTCAATTCGATTCTCAAATTAAATCCAGAATGCGTCTAAGCTTTCCTAAGGCTCATTCCCTAAGCACCTCAGTGTCATCTCTACTCAAGCCCAGGTACGCTTCGGTCATCACAGATGCTCGGGAGCTCTGCAGTAGCCTATGCCTGATCTCTGTCGTGATATACAACCTCTTCTGCTCATCTCTGAGACCTGAGCCAGCAGGCATTTCCAGGCTTCATACAGCAGTGCAGCCAAACCCTAGGCTGCTCATTTGAGGGGCAACCTGCGCAACGTTTCTTCCTTTTACTTAATGGGCAGCGATTATTATCTCCTCCTTGAAGTTGGCTCAGTCCAACAGCTCAGAGGCCTTTCTGAATTGGGACTCTTGCCCTTGTCTTGAAGCTGCTCCCCTTTGTAGGGTAGAGTAGCTGTTGGTCTTGCCAGGCTAGGGTTGGTTTGAAGAGCTCTTTCAAAAGAGCTATAGGAGGGGGATTCAACGTGCACGGCACCCCTTCCTCCTGACCTGGTTCAGAAGAACGGCGTTGGTCGGCACACCCAAGCTGTGGCAAAGTGCTAAAACTTTTGCTTTGTCCAGGATGCCAGAGCCATCCTCGTCGCACTGAAGAAACGCCTCCCGAATGTTCTTGTTGGTCAAGTGCTTGTGGAGCTCCAGCTCCTCCTGAACCTGCACAATTAATTCATCCAGTTCCTGCTTGCTGGTCCCAAGCGTGGGGATGTCACTGTAGAAGAAAGGAAGAACGGGACTTCATGTAAAAGCTACTTCTGGCAGCCTTACTGTGACCCTTGCGTGCTGGCTGCCCACCAGGGCTGGCCAGACTGTGTTTCTGAATACACAGCGGGCTTCTGGGGTGCTTGGGGTTTATGGCAAGCTCATTTCAGCTTGGACTTGGAGATAAAGCTCAGTAGATAGAGCATTAGGTAAACTATTTTCCCTTTGCAGGACATTTCCCCCATGCACCTTTTGTCTGCAAGTGCTCTGGGACAAGGAGTGCTTCCTTGTCTGCTCCATACAGTCCCAGGAACTATACGCAACTCTAATCGCAACCAGAGTCCCTGAACTACCAGGATACTGACTCCAAAGTGCGTTGTGAGGTAATAGCATTGTTTCTGGGTCACCCAAAATGGGTCCAGGCAGCTAAAAAAGAGGATGTGGTCTATGGTTTTGATGGGCTGATAAGCACAGCCTGAGCAAATGAAAAAAAAAAAAAAAGCCTCCACCAACTCTCTGCTGAGCCTGCAACCATCTAGGAGCTCATGCAGATACTGTTAGCAGCTTCTGTTACAGTGAACTCCTGTCTTTTGGGAAAAGATTGTGTTCATTCCGCTGAAAGTATCTCTGCTGCTGGGCCAGAGCTGTCCCACAAGGGTTTTGGGTCGGCAGCAGCCACAACATTCTATTGTACACACTCGACCCCCCCTGTATGTGTCCAGACACAGGCTCTTGGAGCTGAATAATCAGCTGAGCAGCCATTAGACAGCAGGCTGGAGCCCATGGAGGCGGCTGGAAATGCCCTTAGCTGTCAACTGAGTCTTATTTAGCACCACCCTTTGAGGCCTACCTGTTGGCAGTCTCCTTTACCACCTGCCGTGGGCGAAAATGATCCCTCAGGGACTGCAGGGTTGCCGCCGGGAAACTTTCTGCATTGCTCTCCATGTAATTAAGCACATATTCATCAGCATCAGTGACAACAAACCTGTGGCCAAACACTGGGGAAGAGGCATTAAAGGAAGCAGTGTTACTTGCCTTTCAGCATGGGTAAGTCACTTCATCATCCAGGAGAGAGCACGGTTTCTCTCTTGTGGCTGGGCTCAGGTTTGAGCGAGCTCTGCTCTTTGTTTCAGTCCTTGAAGTGGGAATGGTTTCCCTGACTCAAAGGGAGTTTTGCTGCAAGAAAAGCAGCTGCTGAGAGCAAAGGCCCCATGCTTGGACCTACAACAACTCCCCCATTAGCGCTGGTGTGTCTCTAATGTTTCAGTATTCCTTTTATTTTCCTTACAGGATAGATTTTCCTTACAGGACAGGCATTTGCTACTGGAAATCATGTGGCATAGCTTTAACCCTGTGAATCCTGGCAGGTCCCAAGATGTAAACTGAACACATACTATGGAGAACATAGCTCTTTTCCTAATTATGTGAAAGGTCCAAACACTGACAGTAACAAGAGTTGTATCAGCGTACACCAGCTGGTGATCTGGAAACTCAAAGGTGACGGGTGAGAGCCAGAAGGAACAGATCTTTCGAGTGAAGGAAGGCATATGCTCTGTCCATGCAAAAAAATGACATATCAGAGCAGGCACTGAAAACCAGTGCTCGGGGAGCATTTTCGGTCCAGGCTGTATCTTACCTTCAATTGTGGAACCGATGGTGAAGTCAGAGGGTTCATAGTACGTGGCATTCTCCGTAGTAGAGCCTGGTTTGGCCACTCTGGTTTTTCCTAAGTATTTGCCTCCAATGATGCCAGAGTTACGGACTGGGGGTTCATAGATGCTGATCATGTCATTGGAGAGGAAATAAGAGAGGATGAAACGACGCTTTCTGTCCTCAGGGTTTGGTGATTCCTAGAGGAAAGGTAGCGGCTTTGGAAAAGAACATTTGAACCAGGTTCTTCTTTCCTGGGGTGCTTAGGAGTATCTAGTAACCCACTCGTAGGCACCCAGAGTTCATAGCTTTGCTTTGTTATAGCTGACTGGACAAAGCGCTTGATGTAGGCCAAAAGCTACAGATATGCTGACATAGTGTAACAAAGCCCTAGACAGCATCAAGTATCTGAATTTCAGAGGTTCCTTGCTCTACCCAGGCTAACAGAAGCAGAATCTGGGCTGCAGTGACCAAGTGCTTCCGCAGGCTGAGTAATCCAAGAGAAAGGAAATCCTTTACAGAACGTTTCATCACAGCAACTGGCTGTAAAATTCACATTTAAAATTCTATTTTTCATTATAACGAGTGCCTGAGAGAGGTTTGAGCTGCTTCCAGCTCTTAGTCACAGGAAGGCGCTCCCCCCGACACACCAGTTTACTTGCTTAGTTTAAAAGTCAGCGGATCTGGACTCGTCAGCTGTGACCTTTAGGAACTCCTGCACCACAGGGAAAAGCAACCGGCCCTTTCTGTTTGGAGAGGGCAGGCACCAGGCGGCACACGAAATGCCACTGGACGCGCCAGAGGCCCCTTGCATAAACCAACGGTGAAGCTGGCACAAAGGCCGGGGCCCAAACGCCTTTGTCGTGGGTGGGAAGCGCCGTCCCTGTGGGCTCCCCCAGCTCCTGCGCTGGCACCCGGCAGGCTGGCTGCTGCGGCCGGGGCTGGCCTGGAGGAGGCCCAGGTGCTGGGAGCCTGCAGCGGGGAGGCAGCAAGCTCACTCTTGAGGCAACGGCCGAAGGCGGGCAGAGGCACAGCGCCCGGTCGCGATGCTGTTTCAGTTCGGGCCATCTGTCACGTGCCGACGTCAGCGGGAGTTTTTCCATAAATGGCTGTGGTTTTGCAGCATGTTTTGTACTTTCTGGCCTTGGTTGTTTTGTTTTGGTTTTTTTTTCTATCTTTGCATGCTACTCATTGTCACAGCAAGTACACAATAACCCAACAGCATCCCCCGAGGGGCACTCGTGTTGGCTTAGGGAACTCTTCCCACCAGCACAGAGGGAGAATTTGCTAACAGCCTGGTCTGAGCAGGCTGTTCCTCTCATCCTTCTGACTCCACCACATCAGCTGGCGCTATACCGTCAAGGGAAACACTTACCAGGGCCACCTGGTATCGCAGCACCTTGCGGTCATTCTCTAGCATCTTAATTACATCTTTCCTGGGGGGCTTTGGAAACAGAGAAAAGCAGTTCTGAAGAGAGTCTTCGAGGATGCCAAAACCATTATAGGGAGGAATTACCTGCATGCAGAGGAGATATCAAGCATAAAGAGCTGAAATTAAGAACAAGACAATGTACACAAGACAGCTTATCAGGAAACATCTGTTTGGAAAGAAATCTTCTATCAACAGCTGTGACATCCTGCCCAGCAGAGATGCTACTAGCCCGGCTATCTGTTGAACCCCTTAATTATAGAAATATTTAAAGAGAATTAAGAGAATCTGAAAGCCAGAAAGCCAGGTAATTTCTCTGAATAAAGAGACTACAGCTATACTAATAACTAAACCTTCTTGTGCACAGGAATTCAGTCATCTATACGGTTACACTGTTAACCTAATCCCCACTACGTTGGTGGTCTAGGCCAGCTAGCACTCCAAGCCATTCCTAGGCTCAGTTTGGGAGGTGACAAGGGCTGTGACCATCCCTAGTAGGCAGTGTGGACTTGGCAACCCTGTGTTGGAGGGAGAGGGAGAGTTTAGTAGTATGAGCGCAGCCAGGCTCTGCCAGTTGGCTTTCCAGCCAAAACCAAACCCTGACACTGTTTAATTTTCTGGTATAGACATAACCAGAGTGCTTTTCATCACTATTAGCAAGTGCTTTGTCCTTTACAGGATTAGAAACCAACAGTTTCAGAGGACTTCCATTTTTATATTGATCATGACCATTCTTGCCTTGTCTTTTTCAAGTTACTTGCTCTTTTCTTTAAGCTGAACTTGTTAACTACAGGTTCTTACTAACCTGAACCTATACTTTACAATAAGAGCTTGTACAGATTGCTTCCTTCCCTCCCTTCCTTTGAGAAATTGTTTGCAGTACCTGTGGAACTTTCTCAGGTGGTTTCTTCTCTATTTCCACTGGCTGGAAGCCTGTGATGCCAAATTTGTCACGATAGAAGTTCCGTGTGAACTCATCACAATCATAGATGAAGAAGGTGCGTCCAAGGAGGGTGGTAGATTTGCCAACAGCAAAATCTTTAGCTGTGTACCACTCAAGTACCTCCTGACCAGAGATCTCCAGCACACAGCTTGGGAAGCTCTCTAAGGACAAGGGAGCAAAAGGAAAAATAAATCAATCAGGTAGATGTTCCTAGTGAAAAGGGATACAAAAGCAAGCTGTATAAATAGCTCCAGGGAGCCGTTGGTACTGCTGTCCTGCCACTGTTTCCTAAAAGATAAAGAATTTAGCGATCATTTAAAGAACTTCTCTTTGGCCAAAACCCAATGACACTTGGAGTGTTCTCAGTACAAATTCTCCAGACTCGGTGCACCTCTGTCGCAGCCGTCACATACGTGTCTACCCACCAAGGTACTTCAGGCAGATGGACTGGCCAATCTAAACTTACTTTTCTTGTCCACAAAGGTTTTGGGCAAGCGTTGGCGTTTTATCAGTATTGGGAACGGGTCTCTACCATCGTTTTGCTTGTAGACTTCCCGAACCTCCACGGTGTCATCTGCCAAGTAGTAATGGATGATATAAGGCCGATTCTCACCAAACATGCTGTTGGTGTCGTCCCACATGGCATAGAAGCGAAGGACCTAGGGTGGAGAAAAAAGAGGCAGAGAAAACAAACGTGGATTAGAATTACTAACACTTTGTCCAAACGAAGTGGGTGGAAACGGGTTGGGTGATTGGAGGCATCTCTGCCAGGTAGAGAAGGACCAAGCCCTTGTACTGTGGGCACTGGGATGAATGGGATGTTGAAGCAGCAGTGGGAAGGGCAGCAGGGGCCTTCAGAGCTGGACAGGCCTGGCTTACCTTGACAGACGCAACTGAGAGAGAACATTTTATGCTAAGACAAGAAATTTAGTTCAGGAACCATGAGGAAAAATGGGGGGAAAAAGTGATTAAAAAGCACCGAAAAATAATTGCCCAGAAATGAGTAAGGGAAGCAGTCTTAAAAGAAGTGATTTTTATAATGAAACTTCATACAGCGAGACAGAATCTTGTGTTGACTCTTAAACCTCTTAGAAGTTTCATGGCCAATTCTACTACTCCCATGCTGAGGATGGCGGAAAGGAATGCACTTAGCAGTTCTGAGGAGGCTGCACGCCCTGCAGACCCCATCTTATTTCTGCCTAGTGGAAATACCATCTTTTAATGCCGCAGAAATCAAACTCCTCCTCCTACGATGCACAAGAGTTCCCCAAGGTACAGCTCCTAAACAGGCAGCCTAAGAGCTGTTGCAGGCAAAGTTGGCCCCGCACAGACCTGAGTCACTGAGGCTAAACTGGCAGTAAATGGCAGTCACAGCCCAGCTTGCACCCACACAGCAAAACTCTCTGCTCCCCTCAAAACAAGGTGACCATATCCAAAATGGCAACTGGGTATGATCCTGGCCTGTGCTAACACCTAGCTGATGGCCAGGAACTGTCTGATTGATAGCTGGCCAGGGGCAATATGCAGAACTCAAGTTGTGTCCTGGCCCTGTTTTATTTTCTAGTAGAGATGTAGTCTTACATGGTTGCTTGATCAAAAGAAGATCCAGAGGAGCAGGGAGGAGAGTGTTAGTCAACTGTATGCAGAGGGAGAATTCAGTCAGAGCAAGTGGCATTTGCGTTGGTCTGAAATTGTCCACTCTGGCACCTCGCATCCAAGTTTTGGGGGAACAGAGGAGGCAGCACGCCCATTTGTATTAGAACTGCACCTGGCCCTATCTGCTGACTTCCCAAGGCAGGTGGCTTACCTCATCCCAACAGAAAGTGAGAAATGGAGGATCTAGAGCATAAAGCTGTTCACAAGGCACAAAGCCCAGCTAAAACATAAAAGAGTTTGTCTCTCACTAAAGCCAAGAAAGGAGCAAATCTGGAGTCTGTTGGGCAAACTGAGATTTTTTAGAATGAGTGAGGTTGCAGACACTTGCAAGACTCAGGTTTCAATAACACAGACAGTCTGTAACGTGGGTAATCACCACCAGCTCCCTTACCTGCTTGTCGTAAGTCAGAAACTGTTTGAGTTGGTCGAAATCCGACGGTGTGACGTACTTGCGCACAGGCACCCGACGCAGTTCTGTGTAAGGATCAAAAACCATTTTCTCTGGAGGGTTCAGTTCAATTCCTTGGCTCTCCAGGAACACCTAGGAAGGTCATCTGAGGTATTAATGCTGCCGTGAGTTCTGAAGGTAAGATGTAACTAGAGGTTACAGACAGACTGAGATGAGTGTTGCCAGAACACTGCAAGTTCATTCCTCACAGACCACCAGGCTGAAGAAGTAGGAGTTCTACTGCAATAGCAAATACAACAGAAGGTGACCAAAGTGTTTCTGATGAAGCTGCTTCTTAGCTTTGCTTGCCTTTTAATTGCTCAGGGCAGTCCTGTCCTCAGTATCCTAACTCAGATTTTACTTGAGCAGTTTTGCTTGACCTTAGGGCTTTAAATGGAGGGTAACTGTCAGTTGGTCTCTTTTATGTAGACGAAAAAGATTAAATTAGCGCATAACCGCGGGTGTAGTCAGTCTGAATTTGAAAGAGATCTAGGGCTCCCCAATGTGTCAGACAGTCGAAGTCAGTGTTACCCACACTAGGCCCCACCAAGGCCCTTCAGGCCATGAGGATAGGTGCCAGAGTGGCAGCTTCATTCCATCTTTCAGGAGGAGTACTTTTCCTACAGAAAGAGGGCAATCCACTTGTTTATAAAGGAATTTTTTGCCCACCTTGGATGCATCAACAAATCCTAGGGTATTCCTTGTGTACTCACATCAGTCACCCAAAACAACCTCTGGACTTCTTCCCTTTTTGGCCTTGGGAAGTAGCCCATAAAAACGTTCAGCCCAGGAAGCACCCATGCAATCATCTCCAAGAGCCACATGTCGTCACCCTGAAGACCCACAAAGCAGGTTCACACTTTCAGACTCACTGTTTTCTGGTCTGGAGGATGCCAGTTAATGATAGACTAGCGGCACTGAGGTGTTGACCCACGTAGCTCATCTCGTGCTTTCCATCAACCAACCAACATTTACATGAGAACCAGCTCTTCATCTGATGTGAACTGACTTTGTCATCCAGTTCCAGCAGAGCTGGCCTCACGTGTTCTCAACAGCCACATAGACACCAATATTTTATACGTGCTTGGGAACCTTTCTGGGCACTGAGGCTAACTGGCAAGGGACAGCCTGCATCTAAACTCTCTCAGCCTTCAGGATAGTTTGGCTGCATGTCACTCACCAATTGGGAACGGCCCTGGAGCATTCTAACTCCTGGACTGCTCCTGGGAAGAATAGTAGTTGACCAGGGCTGAGATTATACAGGGGATGATCTAACAGGATAACAGTATACTGGTATTTGTTATTACTTGTCATTGGATTGTTATTATCGCATTTACTGGTACAGAAATAGCCAGAAATAGAAAAGCAGGCAATGAGTAAGCTCTCTTAGAAAGGTCAGTTCATAGCAAGATTCTCAACCCACGGATCATGACCACTCTTCTGGCTTGGCTGTAGATGGGTGCAGAGTTACTGACTGCATTCCCTTCCCCTGTTCTTAACAGAGGAGTACTAAACCAGAAAAAAGTTAGGATCAGTAATTTCCCTCTCATGTATTCACAGTGTTTCATCTGGCCTTTAAGCAGTTGAACTGTTGTATGCACAGAAATAAATGAACTTAGAATTTGTATTGCAAAGAGAAGCCCTGAGGACAAAGGATGGACTCACAGCAGCCCTGGGGCAACAATACCGAGCAATTAACGTGCCCTCACCAAATATCAAACCTTGGACGCCCCCTTGATCTGAAGAAAGAAGTCTTCGCAAAAAGCAAAACGAAAGATTGCACGCAACCATATTGTGAGAGCTACAGGTGCAGGCTACGGGGCTCGAACAGGTCTGTCCACCTGTAACCCCCAGGGTTCTTTGTGTCAGTGTTCTCTGTGCAAGCAACACACCTGCGTGAATGGGTCACAGTCAACTAGGCGGTACGTCCTGCCATACATGGTGATGTTCACGCCCCGATTCAGATCTTTCCAGTGGTAATGATCCCCACGGTCGTTCTTGGGCACCCGGTGGCGTCTGATGAGTTTGCCTTGAGGAAGACCAGAGTTCGGCACCACCGGCTCTATGACGGACATGCTGTCATCTTCCAGGTAGTAATAGACACCCACTTGGCGGACACGGTAACGCTCTTCTGCGGAGAGAGGAACATCTTCCTGGAAATAGGCATCAAACTTCAAAATCTGCCAAAGGGGCAACAGACAAAAGGGAGGGAGAAAGAAACAATCCGAACACCACAATTAATCCATCAAGACCAGTAATTTATTTGTCATTTGCTTTGGCAGTGCGAAGTTACTGGATTGTAATCTGTAACATCATCAAAACCATCTGTAGCCTAATCTGTGACCGACGGCAGAGGCATCGTGGGGGCTTTGATCAAGACCTGCCTTTTACAAATTTGGCACGCATGAGATGGGTGTAAAAAAACACAGCCTTTCCCCTGCTCCTCCTTGATCACCCGCTGTTTCACCTTCTGCCAGGTGCTTGGTAACGGCCAGGAATTCAGTTTACCGACATACATGACTTTCTTTACTATTGCCAGCTTTGAAGACCCTGATTTAGGGAAGCTATCAGGAGATTTTAGTAAAGAGTTCAACCACAGCTGTGGATTTAAAAAATCTCCATGTGTCATCTGACCCATCTATTCGGCACTGACAGCGAAAGCTAATCCGTGCTGGAGAAACAAGGAGACAAATCAGCCAGTTAATCACAATTCCTGTGCTCAGCAGAAGTATGAGGAATATTCCCTCCAAGATCATCCAATGCCCCTAAGAGGATGTAGGTGGCCAATCAGGCCTTGCACACCCAGCCTACACCAGCCCAGAGGCCTTGGCTAATTAAGGGATGATTAAAGCCAGCAAGTTCCTGCCAGCCAGCAAAAGTGCTTCGAAAGGGACCGTGACTTCCCCCAGCAGCACTGAGGCCCCCGCTGGTACTCTGGCTTGAATGAAGAGGCAGGGAAGTGTCTGACAGATTAAACATCTACATTGCTCTGAAGGAACAGCCTCAGTAATTAACACGGCACATCTGCTCCCCCAGCCTGCCTCACAGATGGGCTGAGGGCTGGCTGCAGGCTGCCTTTCCAGGCCTGCCTGGGGTCCGCTGAGCCTCGCACGCCCTGCAGCCACCGCTCTGTCCCTGGCCGCGGCCGCCCTCTGTGCCCCCGGCAGGTTGAAAACCAAGGGTCAGCTCGGGACCGCTCCAAGCAGACACAGAGCCACCTCCTGCTCCGAATCGATCACCAAGGGGTAGCGCAGGAAGTACTGACGGAGCACTACAGGCGGTAGCACGCTGCGGTGACAAACACAACCGTAAATAGACAGACCACAGTTAAAACAGTCTAACAGGGTCCCCGTTGCAGACAGTTTCAGCTCAGTTACGCCCTCAGTACAGTTTTGGAAACACAGAAGGCCAGGCTGTGGTTTACAAGGCAATGGTTATAAACTGAAGCTTTTCAGAGTTAATCAAACTTCTCTTCCAACGCCTGCTGCTGTAGCGTAACTTGTGGGGAATGTCTTACATCGTTTACATACTATAATCCTCCTCCCAAGCAAAGAAAGCCTCTTTCAGTCTGGGGTTCAGCTGTCTCTGACTAAGGGCTATGGCATCTGAAAACCGCTGTACGCTGTCCCATGAACCCTGGAGCTGACTGTTTGTGTCTCCGAACTTGGCCGGCAGTATTCCTGGAATAAGCTTCTTTATACCTTTTTGTCAAAAGCCACGTGGGCTGGAATGAAGCCTGAAGGTGGAGCCCGCTTGGCTTGCCCATAGGTCAGCGTGGGTCTCTTGTTGGATAAATCATCTAATTCAGCTTGAGAAAGCTGATTCACATATAGGCGCTCCCCGCCGATCCCCACTGTTGGCAGCCGAGAGAAGGCAAATCCGTTTTTGTAGCCCAGTGTCTGGGACCGATGAAAAGATGTTTTCTGTGGAAGGAAATCCAGCTGTTAAAATACTGTGTGCACTTTGTAGATTTGGCTACTGAAAGCACAGAAAAACAGTCACGGAGTGTAACACCCAGAATGCCCCTCCCGCCCCCAGCATTTTATTATAACCCGCAGCAGCAGTTATTTACAATCAGATTTTTACACTTAGATCCAGGAGGCTGAAAAAAACACAATAAGAAGTGGCTGGAAGAACAAAGTGAACTCAAATCCTAGCACTGGCACAGGCTCTCCACAACCTGAAATTAATTTCTCTATTCCCACCATTCTCAGTGCCTAGAATGGGGCGGCAGCACATTATCTGCCCTAGTACCTCTCTCACAAACTCTTTGTTCCCTACTCTGTGTTACAGCAGTACAGGGCACCATGGGACCTCACTCTGTTATTGCCTCACAGTGCTCCCTTGGGTACGACATCCTGGGCACCCTCTGTGTTTTCGGTCGCTGTTTATTCTGTTAACCCTCTCCTGGGGATGATAGTCACAGGATTTTCTTCGCCGGGCTGAACCAAGGTGTGTCATGCTCACAGAGCTGCAGTTATGAAACGCACCAAAGCACATCAGCCGTTTCCCCACTTCTCTCCACAGTCCATGCAAGGGTCACCCCTTAAATAACAACCACCACAGCGTAAGACCCTATAGCAGATTAATGAGAAGCCTGACACGACGAGAAGAATTCTATCTTTGTGAGCACTCTGTAATGTTGCCTATAGGATTCATCCGTTATTTTGTGCTTTGTGGGTTTAATCTCGGTTTTGAGCTTCTGGGAGCCTTTCACCTGTCTGTGCTACCTGCCTTACACCAGCTACTGCAGCTGGAACAGGCTGCCCAGAAAGCTGGTGGTGTTGCCTTCTCTGGAGATATTGAAAACCCGCCTGGACGTGATCCTGTGCGACCTGCTGTAGGTGACCTTGCTTTAGCAGAAGGGTTGGACTAGATGATCTCCAGAGGTCCCTTCCAACCCCTGTATTCTGTGATTCTGTGATTCTTCAAGCTCAATAATTATCCAGATGGCACAGGAAGGTCCCTGCTTAGCTTAAGGACACACAATAAGAAAATGTCAGAGCTGTGGACGGGACCTGATCCCTGTCAGCCCAGTCCTGTTCTTCACTACTGAAGATCAGGATCAGACTTGAGTGACACCAGCCTACTTGCTGTACAGCCCACCACGCCTGGTGCCTTACCTGCAATCCTGGAGGCATTTGAAATAATGCATGCCTGGCTGGTCCCACCAGGCTGTCAGTACTTAATGCTCCAGAGAAAGCAGGAGAAATTGGGAGTCCCTGATAATAAAATCCCTGACTTTACCTTGATTTTTGCCAAGTAAAACAGAATTGTATGCATTTCTAGCGCTGAAGGAACAAGCTTCAGCTCCTTTTCCAGACCCAGATTTGCAACCAGTCCAACCTCAGGCATGTGAACCACTTCTCCTCCACCCCCTCCCTTACTCCTCATGGTTAAGCCTCTAATCTTATTTATACCTTCAAGGCCCCACTTGAATTTCACATAATTGCCTTTTTTCTCTTTGAACTGGTACTACGGATCTTGCAATGCTGTGGGGAGAGCAGTAAGGAAAACAGGTTCAGGTGAAAACAAGAGAGTCTACTGAAGACGTGTTAACAGAACGGCTTATAAACATTAGCCCTGCCACAGCACTGCTACTTCCTTCTGTTAAATAAATACCAAAGGAAAGCTGTGGGAAAAATATTAAAGGAAAGCCAGGAAGTTTGTCTTTAAACTGGGCAATATCAGTGTTTGTCAGAGGTGCACAGGCTTTTAAGGGCCCAACGTTGCCTAAAAAAAACACCCCATAAATCCATAAGACTCCCAGTGTTGATAGGCTCTCCCAGGTGAGCATGGATGCCAGACAACATCCCACAATATCAGGTGACTAATGTAAATCTAAAATGGAAAACCCAGAATGTAAAGGCCTAATCTCAGCTGCTGCCAGGCCATATCTGAAGAAATTCCACAGCGTTAAGTCCTTCCTTTTGCCAAGTCTATAACGCTTCATACAAATGCCGTTCCTCCTCCCAGCGCCTCTGTTCCCCTGTCACATGGGCACTGAGCTATAACAATACTATCTTATTGGAACACAGAGGTTTTCTTCAGCACTTCTCAGCATTCACTTGGAAAACAAGTATTGCAATGCCCATTTTACAGACTGGAAAACTGGGGCAAAGTGAGTCGATAGCACTCACTAGGGCTCATCCTGAGGAACGCTGCAAAGCTATTTCTGGAGCCCAGATCTCCTTAAAACATTACCAATAGTTCAATACTTCAAGTTACTCTAAAATAACGATCTGCTCTGCTAAGTCCTGTGGGTGTTTCTTACATACACACAGTGCTGCTGAAGTTAGTAGAAGCGTTCACATGGCTAAAGCAGGAAAGATTATACTGATAGGGGAAATAATATTTTGCTAGGGGCAGAAATTTGCATTGCAGATTTCCAAGATGTTATAAATTATACAGGCTGGGCAATAAGTGGATTGAGAGCAGCCCTGCAGAGAAGGACCTGGGTGTGCTGGTGGATGAAAACCTGAATATGAGCCAGAAACATGCGCCCACAGCCCAGAAAGCCAGTCGCATCCTGGG